ACATATATATATATATATATATATATATATATATATATATATATATATATATATGTTTGTGTGTGTGTACTTTTACGTATATATACTTATTTAAATTATATACTTTACAAAATTACATAAAAATAATTAGGGGAAGATGATTGCAGAATACTTTGCCATAGTGTCTGAATTTTGACCAGTTTGACATTCATTTTAAAGAAGGAATTTGATTTCCGTTGGAATGAGACATGGAATTCTATAGGACAATTCTTTTCTGGGTCCATATATTATGTTATGGTGTAATATAATGGCATCGTATGATATGTGAACCCAGTCTATATGTGGAGGCCTGTCAAATTTTAACAGAAAAACAGAAAAACATGTATAAAATTCAAATTCTCCAAACTTCAGCAGATTATTTGAAGAACTGGTTTGCAATGAAATTATTTTAATGTATTTTGTTTGCCTTCTTTGTTCAGAGACAGAGAAGAATTCAAAAGGATCGACTAGTGAATGAGTTCACCACAGCGCTTACAAATTTCCAGCGGGTCCAAAGACAAGCTGCTGAGAAGGAGAGAGAATTTGTAGCAAGAGTTCGAGCCAGTTCTAGAGTATCAGTAAGTATAATTCATTAATCCACACTCTCACTAATTCTGGAAGATATCGAAAGAAATGGAATAGATGATACCATTTCTTTTCTCATTACAGTCTATGTTTTAGAGTGCATGAAGTACAGTATTAATATCATTTCTGTGCAATCCATTGCTAAAGTCCATTTAGGAAATGCAATAACAGTTGGTCATATGCCAGATCTTCTATAATCGCAATAAATTATAGATTAGATAAATAGTTTGAGACAAGAGACAATAACGAGAGATTTTCTTGTGTCCAGGAATCATGCAACCCAAGTCAGATCTGAATACAGTAGCACGGTGGTCCAAAAAGGAAGACACTCAGCCTTATTTTTGTCAGTGTGTGTGTAGGATTTACAGACACCTGAATAGAAGAGTTAACACTGTGTAATGTACAACAATATGATATTACACTTGCCTAACTAAATATTTACGCTAAGATTCTCTGCATATTTTTTTTCTGTTCGATCATATCTCATTCTTAGACACTACCCAGACAAGTCTCTACAAGTTTCCTTGTCAAGGTTTTTCAGAAAAGTTTTTCCAGTGCTGTCTTCCTGGGGTTAAGAGAAAGTAACTGATCTAAAGTTACCTAACAGTCTTTGTGCTTAAGGCAAGACTAGAACTCATAATCTCTTTGTTTCTAGCTCGATGCCTTAACCAATACACCAAATCATCTCTCTAATCATTGCTTTCTGCTATTTTTTTCTATGGGATTGAAGTCTGCATTGAGCACTGAATCCTAAGCTGTTACTGTGTTTCCCGTAAAGACCCATCCTGAAAAAAGGTCTTATCATGTTTTTGAATACATGCGCTCAAATTAAACCCTACCCCCAAAATTAGCCCTAATTAACATCCTGACCACCTCGGATCAATCTTGAGCTCTGTTATTGGCTGCAGAGGGATTCCTGGAAGGCATCTGTAGCTGATAAAAGAGGTCCGGGTGAATCTGAATGGAAAACGGGAGCCAGGGGGCAACACATGGGTCAATCCAGAGCCCGTTTCTCAGCTGCAGAGGGCTTTCTGGATGGCGAAATGGAGGCCAGGGGCGACGCATGCAAGCAGCAGCAAGTGGCCACAGAAGAAGTGGGCAGGCACAGGGCTCCTGCTGTGTGGGGCTGTTGGTGCCGCCACCATGAGCTGAGTCAATAATTACACCCCACTCCTGTAAAGAAGCCCTAGCCATTTGGGGGGGGGGGGGTTAAAAGAAAATAAGACCCGGTCTTATTTTTGGGGAAAT